CGCGAAGAGGACCGTGCTCAGCAACGCGCGAACAATGATCTAGTCAGCACAGCCATACTCAACCCAGGAGATGCATACGGATACCCTGGTCGGCGCGATATTCTCTGTGGCACGAACGACGGATGAGATGCGGAGGAGTAGGATGGCGTTCTAGTCGGGTTGCGACAGCTGGAGCGTGGTTGAGTATGCGTTCAAGAACTCGCCCAGTGATCAGCAGGTTACGTGCCTCAAAGCCTTTCTTCGCGGGTGCATATCGTTGACGCTTGCACTCCCAGGCTCGCGCAGCTTTCTCCGCGGGACATCCGAGTATATGTGCACCCGTACATATCAGTGCCTGCTATTCAGAGCCGTCCCCGCTCACCGCATACCGTGGGCCTACTGCTCAGTACGATACGATGGCATGTACGTACACACTGTTAGTCCAATACATGCATCTTTGGCCCGTGAACTCTGCACTAGTCTGCTGCACCGTAGATCACCATGCACTACAAAAGCCATGACACTACTTTGAAAGAAGCAACGAACAGCATACGCCGCAACTGACGGGTGGTCACAGATCGTCGCTCAAGATGTCCGCTGCCGGCTTGGGAGCCGCCTCCTGCTAGACGGCTCAGTAGATGCTTGGCTCGCACAATGGTGGCGAACTGCATAGGTCGCGTCGCTGGATAACCGTTGTGCCAGTCGGTCAACTTGCATCGCTCCATCTTGCGACGCTCTCAAGATCGATCGACCTGAAGGAGCTTCGAGGTGGCCGCAGGCCAAACCCGACATCTCCTAATATTGGTGGGCAGATGTTGCGCGCGCGAGGTGGGGATCTTCAGCCGAACCTACCGCCAACTGTGAAGAGTAACGAGACGCCAGTATGATTTATCTCGACAACACCGTTGAAACTAGCGAGTGCGCAAGGCTCATTAAACATGTCTCATATGCACTATCATACCGATATCACACAAGACGAACATTCGGAAGGACTACAAACGACAATAGAGAACGGGGATATGTGAACAAACGACGAATCAAGTAAGATCGAGAGTTGCGCGCTCGACGCTGCGCCTGGCCGGAGGTCGGGATTCGCGCGGAAACTTGAATGGACCGCCGCTCACACGGCACTCGAGGCGTCTACCGCTTCGACACGGTGCGACTCCAGATATCCAGACTGATGCTCAGCATCTCTACTAGATGAAGAGCCGGGTATAAGCCACAGCACTCCCGAAGGCCAGAAGAACACTCACACTGCACCGTCGGTGCTCCGACGGACCTCTTCGATCTCCTTGCCGGTGCCAATCTCCACCTCGCCCGGTGTGCGCTCTTGCGCCTGTGCGTTGCGATTGATGAAGCTCGGATTAGAACTGTAGTCTCTGATCAGTTGATATCCTGAGGCAGAAGGCGAGGCAACGCACTCGAGACCGAGAGACATAGAGTTCTGAGCTGGCCGCTCGCCGAACTCGATGTCTTCCAACGGTGAACGCGCCCTGCCCGCACGAGGGGTCGGTTTCCAGCCGAACCAGCTACCGATGGTGCAAATGAAGCGCCAGTATGATGCACGGGCTTCTGAGGTGACACCGAAAAGGGCGAAGATGACGAATGCGAGGAAGGGTGATGTCCATTGGTTGAAGTAGAAGTATGCCACGACGGAAGTTCCTTGTGCCACTGTCTCTGCGTAGTGGAAGCCTTCCGGTTGCCAGTCAGTGTGGTCGTAGGTCCAACCATAGTAGAACGGGATGGGCCCGCGAGACAAATCTAGTTCCACATCCAAAACAATATTAGCGATGCCTACGGGCAAAGTGAGTAAAATATCGATGCTGGCGAGAGCGAGTATGCGAAAGTAGTTTGTCCGAGACACAGAATTGTTGCTCTGCAGGAAGTGGTTGATGTCTCGACTTTGGCGATGGAAGAGTCGAGCGACGTGAGCTGGAGTGGTGGGCAAGAGCGTTAGGAGGTGTGAGAGCTATCATGTCGGCGGAACTTGACGCACGATAGTAGATTGTGATGGATACCAGCGGAGGAATCACGTTCCATAGTCTGAGAAGCATTATCCCAAGTATTGAATCGTCAGAGGAGTTATTACACCCAAAACCCTCCTCGACTTGAAATCGGTAGTCCTGAACTACGTAGTCTTGCAGCAATTTCAGCAAGCCTTTTGAACATCAACACACAATGTAACTCACAGAGGGGTCCTGCAACCGCTAGAGGAATCATCAACCCCAGAGTCCACTCTATTGCGAGTTCTTTGCGTTTCTGTGGCATAGTGCTTAGATTGAAGAAGGCGTGGGCTTCGTGTACTGTATCGCACCGCAGCTCTGTCGGGGAGTTCTATGGACTGTAGACGGGTAATTAAGTACAATCGGCGCGATATAATCAAGGTCGCCATAGGCTTGACAGTATAAGTGATCATGAAGAGATGTGAAACTGACATGCTTGGATATTGAGTACATCTTGATCGCTCAGGCATCCGATATCTCTGAATCCACTCACCGATATCACAATAAACGTATAGCTTGATGTCGGCGTTATTGAACCATATGATAGCATCGATACCCTTAGTGAGGTTTTCCCAGAAGAGCCAGAAACACAGAAACGCAACACTAAGGTTCCAGCTTTGGCGGATGAAGCTTGTCAAGAGTACAAGGAGCAGCATTGCTGAAGCCAGGAAGCAAGCGATGGGGTAGAGTGGGTATGTTGGATCGACGGCGGCCATGGCAGGAAATGCGAGTAATTGATGCTCCCTACAAGTTGGACTCAGGCCCTATATATGCCAACTGAGCTCCTAAGGAGGCGTACCCGCAAAGTATTTTTGGTCCAACGAACAAGATGTAGACGGTGGGAAAGTGTGTCGTTGGTGGTTTCACGTGATGGCATCGAGTACGTCTGCCGTCTAGGCGACCATTGCACGCGAACAAGTTTCCTTTGTCAGCGCGAATGGGCGTGCACGTCCGCCTGTGGAGCTAGCGACGGTCAAGCATGCAGTGCTAATAAAAGGATAATGCTACACACTGAATGGTATTTGAAAGCCAGGATATGATACCCGGGTGATAGATTGTCAAGATATATGGACAAGGCGTCATGAGTGCTGTGCAATCAGTCCTTGGGTGGACGGTGGGCAATACACAATGATTATCGAGATGGTGACGGTTCGTGGCTAGCCTCCTTGCGTCACACCTGTACCGCCATCATCAGCCCCAGGAAGGTGCCGTTTACACAGAATGTACCATGCGTACGGCTGTAGGTCACATGTAGAGCACTCTGAGAGAACAGAACAGCCTTTCGGAACGCATCGATGGCCCCGCTTTGTGGCTGGTCCGCGTACTGGTGATACCTGCGCACCACATTATCAGTTGACGGGGAAGAGGCTATAAGATGCAGAACGTACCGTACGTATGCTCTTAGATCCTATCATAGGGGTTCGCCGACAAACATGTTCCTCCCTTGGTCCTATTGAGACGATGAAGTGGTAGACCTTCGCGCGATTCTCTGTTCGCGGTTGGGCTCCGCGGTGAGAAGGGCCATTATGTTCCCTTCAGTTACACTGGCAGGTTGAGAGCTCCGGGAGCATTGAAAGAGCTGCATTGACTAGGAAAGACGATCAACAGGCTGTGCGGGGAGGTTCAGAGCCCCGAGGCTTAAACAATCGACCATCCCTAGTCGCTTGGGCCCGCATGCGGTAATCAGTGAGAGGCCAGGACGACGTCTGTCTCGCAATACCGTACAAGGCGTACGACGTAGCGCCACATCGCAGTCGGTACGCCCGTATGTCTTGCGTAGCGATGCTTCCCGTCGCGTGCAACCAGAACAAACGGCATAGATGGCCGCATGCGCCTTCGCTGGCGCTGGTCCACGGTGATCCATCACTTCAATCGGCATGAGTAGCGGTTTTCACCGTCGGCAGAGCGAGTCTACGATGGTAAGTTATTCCTCGCATATTCCGGGGAGAGAAGGCGCCGGCAGCGAGCACAGTAAGCGGCTGTTCGTACAGAACGGGCGCAGTCGCCGCGGCGTCGGCGAGAAGAACGAGATATTCATAGTGTGCGTCCGTGTTACGAGTCGTCTGAGACACGCGCAGCGCACTACTCCAGAGGGTGAAAAAGTATATTCATCATTTCATGCGGTGGTGGTGGTGGTCGAGAGGAGACGCTCTCGCTGAGCGAAGGGCTGTGAATAGACTCCTTCCCAGCAGTCTAGGCTGTGAAGCTGTGTGC